AAACTAATTGACAGTGTAGTCCGAATATTGCCCTTGAAAGAAGTGAGACACACACCAACTATATCAATAAATATCAATTATGTTAACGATAAACGCGACATACGATCGACAGGGCAATAAAATCTATAGCAGGTACATGAAGAAAACGGGGCAAGCAGGTGAGTATGTCTGCCCCTTCTCTCACGCACATGCAACATAAATAATCTCAAAATATCAAGACAAACAATTAAGGAAGATAATATTTATTTTAAACAGAAATATAAAGTCAAACATCTTTAATCAATAAAATAAATTAATCTATTCATGTAAATCATAAATCATCATATTTTAAATGAAATAGATCTAAACACTACTCATAATCAGAATAATACACAAAAAAAAATTGGAGAACATGGTCCAAATCTAAACTTACACTTTTTTAGCACCTATTTGTGAATCTGAGTTTATTGAAGTTGTTGGTAAGTTGGTAATTAAAAAAAATGTAATTCAAATGATCATTACGATATAAACGTAAAAATTGTAAAAGAAACTTTGAACACTATACCAGCACCATTCATAATAGATCTCCCAGAAAAAAAACTTTGTCAAAGGCAATTGAAATGATGTACTTGATTTTTCTCTCTCAGAGCAGTAATCCATTAACAAAACACAACAAATTAGATTCCGAGGGACGTTTCTTAATGTTGTTTACAACAAAGTTAAATTTAAATTAGCGTTGTACCCTACAGTGTAATCCCAATTTCAGAATTTCTGAATCTCAAAGTGCCAAAAAATTAGGTGAGCTGTTGTTAAAACTATTCTTAAAAATAAATTATTATTTAATTAACAAAATGTGAGATGAACTCATTAATTTTGCATAGAGTCTTATTAACTAATTTTATTTATATATTGTTTTACACCATGTTTTACAACCATTGCTACGAAACGGGCTGCCTATTTTCTAGAATTATAGTTTGCTGTTTGGTTATATTTTGTGTAGTTATAATTTAAATAGTTTTACTATTATGACTGATTTTTTAAGATAATTGGTGGGTACTTAGAGTAATTACTAATTAGTGTATAACTAGAATTTTAATTGCAACCGTTCAACACTTTCAGATCAAAAGACTCATATACAAAGTGGTGTATTTGCTTCGAATTAAATTTTTGAGCTAAACGATATCGTTTAATTGAACTCATTCAACAATAAACAGTTTTTTGTGTTCACTTTGTCGGATTATTGGTGCTGTATTTGACATATTTTTCAGCCGATTTGTTTAAGTATTGAATATTCAGTATTCAACCATTAAATATGAAATGTTAAATGTTATTTGGTTTTAATTCCCTAAATACAAAGATAAATATATATCTGTTACTATATTAAATTAGATACATAACGGGTGTTCAATCGTAAAATCACTCATCAGAGTAGGCGTTGGAATTTCATTTGACATAAACGGCATGTCTGTTCTTATAACATCCAATTGGCAGAAACATAATCTGTTATATGTTATATGAACAGGACATGGCGTTTGTGTCAAATCATATTCTAATGCCTACTCTGAGTAATTTTTCAATTGAACGTCCGTTATTAGCTGTAATGTTACTGATTATAATAATAACCTTAAAGTACGTACAAAATTAGACGACTGATTTTGTAGTTTCTAATATAAGAAGTTTCCTTTGAATTACATTTACGTACGAATGTTTTGCGAATATCTCATCAGTATTTTGAGGGAATGAAGAGACAGATTTTATTAAAGTTTTGCCATCTACATCGTAATACTAATTTATAATTAGACAGAAGGAGATGGGAGAAACACTTTTTCTTACTCTAAAAATGTGAACCAGAACTTGATTATAGACCTTCCATGACAATAAATAAACTCAAATTTTTTTAAAATCCATTCTAAAAACAAAAAACGGATTCGATGTCGTTAAAACAGTAGCCGTTTTAGAAACATGGGTGTTCAATTCCATTGTTGAATATTTTAGAAACCATATTTCATATTTTGCGGACGCTTTATATTATTAAATATATGGAGCGCTACAAAAAAAGGGAAAATATGTATTAACCCAGTTCGGTTTATTATCAGTCAATCCCTTACTCCGTAGGACTAAATAAAAAAACCAATTCAATAAAAAACTTCCCCCTCCCACGCCCTCTATTCTTTGCTTCTCTCTAAATTTAAGTAGCACGGGGTGTTAACAATTTAGACAGTAAAATGAACCCAACCCTTTCAGCATCTGTTATTTATTTTAGGAGCAATATCGCTTTCATTAATCATTGCGTTGGAGTCGACAGGGTGTCTAACGCATTTTACGAACATCAGACGTGTGCCAACTATGTGACAATGTGTTTAATAACTCCGGTATTGGAGTTTGAAGAGTTTATAGTTGTTTGTTCACGTGAGTGGAGTTTCAATTTCTTCCCAAATAAAACCGAAGTTTGGGAAAACGACAGCGTGGCATTCTAAAGACGGGAAAATGTCCTCCAAATAAATGAGAGAATCCACTCGTTTCAAAATAGATAAATGTAGGTATAGTGACAACCGTTGGTAATTTTCAGGGAAAATGTAGATTCACGCTGAATGTTTTATGCGTTAATTTGTTCATTCGTTTATTTATTTATTTATTTTTTACGACATACGTAGTGAGGTTGTAGAAGTTCAATCAGTAGCAGGAAGCCATCTACACAATCTAAGGTAGGTACTTGATAAAAAATCCTTTGATGTCCTTCCGCAATTTTTTTCTCTAATAGGATTGCGATTTTGTTGGGATTTGTCCATTAAGAGTTGTCCTCAATAACAAAATCAGTAAATATCGATGTCTTTTATTGTTGGGAGAAGTTATCGAGAAAATAATGAGGCTTTATTGAATGAACTTTTTTGTTTTGTAGAAATACTATTTTTAGATTTGGAGGAGTACATAGTTGAAATGATAAAAGTAAATGTACATTTACTGAACGAAATAGATTTTTGAAATATTAGTTGGACATCTCTTGTTAGCTATTTATTTTTATTTTAAATTAAAGTATTCAACTATCTCATGTTTCAAGGCGGCATGTTTACAGCAGATAAAACAGTGACGAACAGAGACCGGACCCGTGAGGGTAACTTCAACTCGTTTATAAATAGGTTCAAGTCCTCGCTGCATTTAGTGAGGCCTAAGTTGCAACTTAACTACGCTTGAATTAACACTATGTTGTTCACAATTATTGTTCTCTCAATATTTTCGTCCATAAAACTGAGTTTGCAATGGGATGATTTTTGCTTTTATATTTAATGTGTAAAGTGACACTTTTTTGTGTCGTGAAAATTAATCTCTCCAACGCGAGGATCGGGTAATCATTGAACTGGTTGTTTGCCGCGTCAATATACTTGCAATTGCTTATAGGTTTCCTAGGATAAATGCTAAAAAGTGTGTTTTATCAACAAGACTTTTACTAAGTACATGAAATCATTTATTATTGTTTCATTAATTTTCAGCTAATTCAAGTGTAACGATTTTTAAATCTAAGCGCGCTCGGTAAGCAAGATCGCGGAAGAGTGGGGTCGGTTTTTATGGGCGCCGAGAAAAAGAGGAGGTGAAGAGCGTTTTTTTGAGCGAATTTAATTGCGGTGAAAAGCGAGATTTTGACAAAATAAGGAACCAATAACAGCTAGGTGAGTGCTTATTTGGCCTAGAATATTTAAATAGCAGGAGGAACTAGGTTCTATGTACGGGTGCCGTCGATACGTGGTTGGTTGCCGTCTCCGCCGTCACTGTCCCATACCCATCGATTCGTGCTTGGTTGCCGTCTCCGTCGTCGCTGTCCCATGCCCCCATACCATGGTAACCTCTTCTAGGGGAACTTTGAACACAAGAGGATCGCCCCGAAGTGCTTCACCAAAAAAGAGCTTATGTAAATTTGCGGAAAGTAGCATGAAAGATCGTAGAGGTGCTACCATTTCGCGAAGGGGGCTTATTAATATAGAGTTATCGAAAATTTGTCTGTTGTCCGTTCGTCAATTCCCCTTTCTTGTTGGGTTAACTACCCAGCTGGCGCCCAAAGGACCCCCCAATATAAAAAAGGCCGGAGAACGTCAAAATCGCCACAGAATATTGCTTAATTATGACGATTATTTAATACAACGATTCAGTTGATTATTTCTACCATCTTGCCATCAATTTCCGGGTGTTCGCTGCACCGGTAAACGCAAGCAGCCATAAAACAGGACGTACGCTTATACATATATGTACGAGTATATGGCCATTTATAATTGAAATTAATAATGTGCAGAGAACTTGCAATTTACCTCAAATTTAATGTTTCTCACAGGGATGATTCAATCCCCAGTAACATTTTATATGTAATAAATATTGAAGTTCTAACATTTAAATAATATGGGTAACGACAATTTTTTTTAGAAAATCAATATTGGTTTTAAATATTGAATATATATTTATTTTCAATGTTCAATACTTATTTAGTTCAGAACATTTAATAAATGTTCTTCATATGAAAGGGGGTATGGATATAAAAAAAAACTTGTATTGAATACAATATTAAATTTATTAAACACAAAAATACATTGTCACTGGAAATAACAGTGTATTTGAAACGTTGCTGCAATATTTATACATTTAAAAATCATTTGTCCTAGAACCAATTCGTTGAAAATTTGTACCAGGTGATTTTTTTTTAATTTCTGCTGTAGTTACCCATGACACTTATGTCAGCAGTGAAACTGAAACTGCTGACATAAGCTTCATGGGCAACCAGAGCATAAATTTAAAAAATCACCTGATGTGAAATACAATATAAATTTTTTAAACATAAAAATACACTGCCAACTTACAATGAAATAAAAATACATTGTCAATGGAATTAACAATGTTCTGCTACATTTCAATCGTTATACAGAAATATTTATTTAATAATTATTTGCTCTATAACCAATTCATTGAAAAGCGGTATAATTAATTAAAATAAAAAAAATCATAGGTACCTCATGTTTTTTTCGATGAGAAGTCATTCTTGCTTTTGTCTGCGCTTAATGAGGTCCTACCATTTTTTAAATTTCAGTAGTTGTGGCGTTTTTGTGACGTTTCCGTGTGGTACCTACAATTAAATTAACTTAACAAAGTTTGTAATTTTTAAGAAATCACATAACTTTACATATTGTAGCCTTGTTAATTGTGAGTTCACTAAAAGAGAGCTTATTTTTTTCCTTGCCCTGAAAACTTGAAAGCAATTTGGCTCATTATTAATAATTTCTTCAAAATTGCATACACGTTTTTTTACGTCTTCTCTTCCTGACAAATAAACATTATTATCAGTCTGAAACTGGTTTATATTTAAATTCTAGAAGTTAAATAATAATAATAATAATAAATGCTTACCAATTCATCCAATTTCTGCGTATCTCCCGCAATTTTTAACTCGATTTCTTCTTTTATTTTTTTTTTTGGTTGCGTCCGGACATTCATCATTTTGTCTCTACATTCATAATATGTTTATATTCAGAAATATTAAACCTCTTAAATATACTTACGTGTTGAGAAATTGCATTTTCTGCATTGCGTGTAGAAGTGAGGTTATGTAGGTTTAGTACTGTTTTCTTGACAAAACGGTATTTACTACACTATTCTGAATTTATCGCAGTACCGATAACCACAATTCACAATAGGACAAACACCATGACTTACACAAAATACTTTTTGAACCACCAACAGAAAATATGTATATGTTGCACATTGCGCAAACGCGTTCCAGCAGAGCAAGCGCATCTGTAGCTTAGATCATATAATAAATAGATACCAATACTCAAACTCAAAGGTGTGACTAGACATGAAGCTATCTGTTGTCGTTTTCTGCGTCAAGGGGAGTAGTATAATGCTATCCTTGTGTGATCACTACATCTTCATCTTTGTTATATGCATTTCATCTGTATATGTCTATTTCACTTCCATCCTTGTACTGCACCAGCGCAACAAATCGCTTTTGACAGATGTTTCTTCTAACCTCTCTTTCGAGTTGTTGTACAAAAAACAATTTTAGAATTTAGAACAAAGATCCTATTTTAAGTGATGTAATCATAAAGGATCACAATTGTTGCCCAATAATTTACTATTCCTTTCGTTATCTACTGTGAATTATTTATAAAATCAAGCTGTCAACATCTTTCTTCCGAAGTTAGTTCAGACATACTTCCTAAAATTTAGGCGCGCAAAATTCAAATAGTGATCAGGCAAGGATAGCTTCATTATAATCCCTCCATGCATGAGAGAGATGTGTGACAGGAGGATGTCGTCACAGGCTGTCCTAGGGAAAGAACACGGCATGGTGGTATCTATTTATTATATGATCTAAGATCTGTAGGTGAAACGCAAATTTAAGTAAGTTTTATAAAAATAATGAATAAAATTGTTATTTTTTGTTCGCAAAAATAAAAAAAAACATTACTTTTTAATGAGGAATTAATAGTGTGCAAAGCGAGATTTCGAATAGTGTCAATTTCACAATAGATGGTATTTTTTCAAATCAATTATTAATATTGCTCCAATAAAAACCCTATGAAATAAATTACCTACAAGTTGTCCCAACATGGTACTTTTTTTTTCATTTTTGTTGTTCGGTATCTTGATAAAAAGACATTTCATAAATATGTAAAATATGTTGAAATTCATATATAAATTTATAAATATAAAATGAATATTATATAAATATTTGTAATATCTAGGCAACATTTAATATTATATCAATCTATACATATAAAATTGTTTGTCCTGACTGACTGATTCATCAACGCAGAGCCTAAACTACTGCAGCTAGAAACATGAAATTTGGACAATAGTTTGCTTTTGTGATGTAAACACCCACTAAGAAAGGAACTTGGGAAATTCCACCCCTAAAAGGGTGAAAAGGGGTGGTAAAGTTTGTACAGGAAGACTATTTCCTAACCATTTCTGTTGTAAATATTTACGTGAAACTTGGTATTAATGCTTTTCAACACAAATAACGAAAACGTATTTCACCATTTTCCGAAATTCAATCCCTAAGGGGGTAAAAAGTGGTGGATAAGTTTGTACGGGAAAACTACTTCTGTTGCACATTTTCACGTGTAACTTGGTATTAGTGCTCTTCAACACATATAATGACACACGTATTTCAGCATTTTCCGAGATTCAACCCCTAAGGGGGTAAAAAGTGGTAACTAATTGTGTATGGGAAAAATATTTCTATTGCAAATTTTTGCTTGGAACTTAATATTAATGCTTTTCAACACAAACAATGTAACGCGTATTTCAGCTGTTTTTGAGATTCTACCCCTAAGAAGATCAAATGAGGTGACAAAGTTTATATGAGAAAAAATATTTGTATGGCGATGTTTACTTGAAATGTTGTATTAATACCCTCCAACACATTTGTTACTTGAAATTTGGTAATCATGTAAAATTGTTTGTCTTGACTGTCTTTAAATTTTTTTTTTGATATTCATCCCCAACGGAATATAATTTGGGTGGAAATGTGAGAAACAGGAGAAGTTAAGTATTAATCCAAAAGTGGTTAAAAATCAAAGTTTAAAATAGTTAAATATGTTTTTCGCATATTAGAGGTAGTAAGATTATTGGAAAAATCAGTCCTAAGCGTTTGAAATTGAAGAAGTTGTATGGAAATAGGGAGGGCGCGACGTCATCGAGTAAGCGACTGCGAAGCGAACGCGGTCTGCGGTCGGACGCGTGAGGCCAAAACGGCGTTGACGGTTGTGTTTTATGTCACGAATTGTCAGAGTATTTCTCCCGTAAGTATTCTAATTTTGTGTTTCCGTGTATAAAATGAGGTAACTATACCAAAAAATATCCTTGAATTCTCCTCAAAGAAAAAATCTATTAAATATATATGCAAATGTGTTAATAAAGGATCCAACCAGGATTATTTGGTCTTGAAAATCACAATGATGAGGTCAAATTATATGAAAGTGGTCGATATATTAGCAGCTGGAGAATCTTGGCCTTTCCTATACATGAACAATTTCCAGTGGTTTTTCATCTCGCAGTGCACTTGGAAAATGGCCTGCTGTCTATTTTAATCCTAACGACTTTAATAATGTAACTGAAAAGGTAAATAATTCACAGAAAACTATTCCTCTATCATTTTTTGAGCTTTGCAAAGCGGATACTTTTGCAAAAATCTTTCTTTATGTTGAAGTACCTTAATACTATGTGTGGAAAAGTACCAAATTTGAGAGATGAAAAAGTGGAAACAATGTAGATGGTTCGTCGGGAGTCAAAAGAGATCAAGCTTTGAGCAGAGTGTACACCGTTCACCCTAATAACGCGGTATGTTTCTACCTTGATCCTCTTCTTCATGCGCTGAGAGGGCCAACATAATTCTCGGATTTAAAAACTGTTGGTAGTGTCGTTTATTTCACATATCAGTCATTATGCAAAGCTTTGGGTTTGTCAAGTTAAGTCAGAGTGTCAAGAGAGTGTTCAGATTATAAATGAAGTGTACAACAAGTGTCTGATTTCCATTAAAGACACGGTGCTGTCTTTAGGAAGACAATGTTGAGAGTACTATGGTTTGCCTGTAAGACGTGAAGAAGTCATACAAAACAGAGACTATCTCAGAGAGATTAGCTATGACATACTTTTATAGGCACAACGAAACTTTATTAAATACAGAATAATATCAAATTTACAACCAAGTTAGATAGGTCAGGTAAATGTTTGTTTTTACATAGCTGCCTACAGCTATTAGCGACAAAAATATCCAAATATTTTAAATCTTTACTCAAACATATGTTAACATGGGGTATAAAATTTAACATGGGAATCCTTATGGTCACTTATAAAAAAAAGATGTACTGTATTATACTCCTATGTTATAGAATAACTTTGTTTCACCCCCCCCCCTCCGTCGTATTTAAAAATTCACGGGACTCTAACTCAAACTTTCAGTTTTTATTTCATACACCTAAGGGTAATGGATGCTTACATTACGAAAGGAACCTTCTGTCCAAATTTCGTGTTTCTATAGCTCCAGTAGTTATGTTGATTTGTCAGGCGGAGGACAAACACTTTTATATATTGTTATTAATGAAGACTGCACAAACTTAAAAAGTAATAAAATTGAAATAAAAAAATAAATCAGGGGATGAAAAATAATGTGTCCTAATTGCGAAATCCACGCAAGCGGAGCTGCGGGTAACAGCTAGTCTTGTATAAATATTAGAAAAATATTGCTTGCTACTGGGGATGGTTGCTATTAAGATAGGTAAATGTTTTCCAGTAGAGTTTTTAAAACTTCACTTCTTTCGTGTCTAGATTTTTATCAGGGGCGTCTCGTGATATGCGGTATAGAAACATGTGCCTGCCACAAACATTTCGTTATATGACTGTCTCATTGGTGTCGTTAAGGGTTTAATTGGTTGCCTACATTAGATTATATTTATTATTATTTCTTTAATTTGGAAATAAAGAATTTGTAAACTGTGATGTCCAAATTTGAATTAAAATTTCGCGCTGAAAAAAAAAACAAGGGCTTACCCAAAATCATCATCGCAGATTTTTCGATGCCTTTGCTTTCGGGTTTTTGCATTAATGAAAACATTGTAAGACTTGCAGATTTTTCCGAAGTTCCAGAATTTATCAATTAGTTACTTACTTTAATTCATCAAAAAAAAAAAAAAAAACTAAAACAATATTGATTTTAATCTGTGTTAATGCAGTATTAATAAATTTCTCAATTTCTATGATTTTTCTCCAAAATTATGATTCATTTTGCACTCTTCGAGAAACTTAAATGATGTTCTGACATTTAATTTAGAACCTAATTTGTTGCCAAAAATTGCCTCGAGTCTCTTAATAAGAATATTAGAGGCGTTCTTGAGTTATTTTTTTTCTGTAACAAGACGCCGCCTCCGCCGCAAACTCTATGCAAGATTTTTCATGAAATGTAGACATTGGATCAAATGACACGTTGAAGTGATGTTTTTAGCATTTTTGGTAAGAAATTTCACTGAATAAGCATCGCAATATTTCAGAATGGGAGGAGCAAAAATGTTTAACTTCCCTTGGTGGATGCTTTTTGCTCTTGACGTTATAGAAATATTGGACTGAACGGAATTTTCATATTAGAAATCTGGCGGACGTGTTAGGGTACCTGAGTATCTAATTTTATGTACTTACTTTACCCACATATTCCCGAATCATATCTATTATATTTAGAGTACTTTATTTCAGCGGAGAAGAAAAAGGAAAGCTAACGAAATAATGTCGACAACGAGTGTAATAACATTTGTCAGATTCAGGATAACAATAGCCGTATGCTTAAACAACATTTATTTTTCATGATAAGAACAGACGACAATCTTAGTAAATAACCTATATTAAGTTTATATTCAGGAATCCCTAAAATACGAGCTGAAGTTCATCTAAAACTGGGGTTCCTTTCATTGATTTACTTTTACTTACGTAGTCAGTTCTCCGAGATCTATTCTGTAATGTTCCATTACAATAATCAGACGTTACAATAAATGTCACTTGTTCCAAAGAGAACACAACTCGAGCAGGTTGGAAAGTTTTAATTCCAAACACACAAATTACTCTTTGAATTAACCAAACCTACCGAATTTAATTTTGTCTTGATAATGTCAAGTAACTAGTGACTTGATATTCATTTTGGAAATTTTGATTTACTTTAATAATTTTTTTCCAGAGAAATAAAAAACATGTACATGA